GAAGGATATGAAGATTCATTCTATGTTACAATTTTAACAATACAGGAATGTGTATTTTCTTATTTATCCGAAAAGTAAAGTGTTTCGACATTATGAAGGATATTAAGTACCTGAATATTATAAAGATTATCAATCCCTTCAACATTACGAAGGATATGAAGATTCATTCTATGTTACAATTTTAACAATACAGGAATGTGTATTTTCTTATTTATCCGAAAAGTAAAGTGTTTCGACATTATGAAGGATATTAAGTACCTGAATATTATAAAGATTATCAATCCCTTCAACATTACGAAGGATATGAAGATTCATTCTATGTTACAATTTTAACAATACAGGAATGTGTATTTTCTTATTTATCCGAAAAGTAAAGTGTTTCGACATTATGAAGGATATTAAGTACCTGAATATTATAAAGATTATCAATCCCTTCAACATTACGAAGGATATGAAGATTCAGGAATGAACATTTACTTAACTTTTTATTATTTTGATGATGCTGGCTAAAAACACAGAAACATTGCAAAACTAACCATTAATCAAGATATAGTCATTAGAGTTGAGCTATAGTTTAATGATCTGAGTACACCCAGTTAAAATGGTAATTTACACGGCACAGTTCTGTAAAACGTTTGCTTATTCTGAAAATTACTAGCACCTTTTTCATTAAAACTACAACGTTCACATTTTACATGCACGAACACAGTTACGAATATATATATATATATATAAATGAGCTTAATTGCTTATAATCAGACTTTACTGAATGTTTAAGTTGCGTGACAACAGAAATCCGGAAAAATTACGAAAGTAAATGAACTATTTGTAAAATTAGTCCATAAATGGACTAATGTTAAATTGTTTTTAATGGATTAAAACACACGAGGGTTTTGTACAAGATTCTATTCCCAATACTCAGTACCGGATTCAGCCATAAGAACATTTTTAAACTTTGTAGTTGTAACATTATTTAATAAGAAGTTCATTTCTTGTTCCAAGATCCAAATATTGACATTGCGTAGTTGTATGTACTTGTATTCAATAGATAATAAATTTCAGGATATACGGATCCACGAGTTAGTGATTATTTCTGTGGACTAGTTGGAAGGTTGTGAGTTCAAAGCTTGTCTGGCACATGTTGTTGCGTCCTGAAGAAAGGTTAAAGGTCCATTGAATTGCTTCGATCCATCTATTTGTATAATAGGCATCAAAAGGTTGCTGGGAGTAAGCCTGCAATGGACTGGCATTCAATCCAGGATGATTTTGTCACTCATATCATCCAGTTATGTGCCTTTCGAAGGAGCGACAATTATTAACTTACTTACATACATTTACACTTTAGTTATTCTCCTTATTACAACTATATCGCAACTTCATTAGAAGTAAAAATAATTTTCGAGGCATAAATCACATGACAAATAATTACAAATTTAGACCCAAATTGTTGCTCCCTCTCTTCTCAAACACTAAATCATATTACTCTCCGTGATACCCTTGCAACTGTGTCGACCACTGGAGGGAGTCAACGATAAACTTATTGGCTTTCAGTGCTAAATTCTAAGGTTCGATTCCCCGCAGTGAACAAAATTCTGTAAAACCAGGCTGGGTCGCGTGTAGGCCTCGTGTTAGAGTACTGTTTGACGATATAATTGAAATCTGTAGAGCTTCTATCTCTTTTACACTCTCTCAAATACTTAAATTCTTCTCTTCCAACTGTTTTCTGATTAATCGTCATTTAGCACAGTATCACATTTAAATAAGCAAATTTACTAAATGATATTAATTTTATTGCCAAGGTAGTATATGGATGGAGAAAAACTAAATTCTGTATAACTTGGTCTTGTGGTACAGTTCTGGATTTTGGAACTGCGTAGACGAGTTCAAATCCGTGCGATGCACCCAAAATATTCCCTGCACTTTAACGTTAAGCTGAATGTGCGTAATAAAAGTAACAATCCATCCATTAGCATTGATGGTGAGTAGAGGATTAGCATTCTTAAAAATAACTTATCTTATATCCTCATAGGAAAAGCTGCGTTCGTTTGTTTCTTTTAATATGGGTTGTGAAAATGGATAAATTAGAAAAGTATAAATTGTTACATTTTCATGACTATCTAACTTCAAAACAGAGAGCCTGAAACGTTCATTGTACACTCAATAGTCTTTACAGCTTTCCAAAGATAAAAGTCTTCGGAATAATACATTATATATGTTTCGTTTCATTATTCTATATTTAAATTACATTAGACGAGTACTCACTCACCTTTGAATAAGAGAACCAGTAAAATATAATAATGCAGGGCCATAGTTCTTGAAAAAAATTATTTCCTGCTTCTCACATTCCACTTGAAATAACTCTGAAAAAATATAAATAATTTTATAACTATCACTTTCAGGCATAGTATGTTTCGTTTTAGTGTTACCTACAGTCTGTTCATGGAATGTTTCAACTCCGAAACACAAACAGCAGTAATAATGATTCAAATAGTAATTTCAAATAACTGTAAGAATGTCAAAACGTTTTGCCAACTAATATCATGCACTACTCGGGCAATTTTTGTATGAAAGTAAATGGAATCTATCGAAACGTAAACTATAAGGCACTACCACTATTTTGTTAGTATTTCTTAAATTAAGAAATTCTCTTATGCATTAAAGGCAAGTTGAAATTGAAGAAATTCTTCAACAATAACTACTTTGTGACTGAACATTACTAGAGTTTATTGCCGCAAAATTAGGAGGAAATTGTATTTATTGAACAATAAAAAAACACACGAAAGAACCTTGTGCTTAACATCCAAACAACATGTGTCCATTATAGCCATGCAGCATTAATAGAAGGTGTAGAATAACAACAATACGAATACTTTTAGTGTGTAAACGATAATGTAACCATTATGACCGAAGGGGCTCAAACTCGGAAAAGTATAGTTTATATGTTTTAAGCATTTTTACATATTCAATATACCCAGCATAATAATAATCCTAAAATCTACCTATTAATATCTATGATGTGACAAATTGCAAACAACAAACAAAGCAAAAACTATTAAAATTTATATTTTCGATATTTGCCATAAACAATCTTCCAAAAGTGCCATAAAAATATTACAAAGCCTGAAGCAACTGATACGATAAAACTTATGTCAGAAAGAATCGAAACGTGAACCGAAGATTCGAGAACTTAATTAAAGATTACTAATGCTTTAGAAAATTAGAATTATTTGTAGAAGTTATCTGAGATTTTTCTACTATTGTAAACTAGTCGATATATCAACTTGTTTTAAAACAACTAAAAGAAATCTTACCTCTCTAGCTAATATTCGTCAAAATATGTATTTAAACTTGCATTAGTTAACAAATGTATTCTCTGGAAAAAAATCACGTTCCTACATTATTTACCAATGTGATCGATAGTTAAATCATTATTAATTACTGTACGTAAATGACAAGTGTTATACATTAACCGTTTTGTATAGTTAATAAACAGAGGTGTATCTATGATAAAGCTACTCATATTTGTTTGTTTTGAATTTCGCGCAAAGCTACACGAGGGCTATCTGCGCTAGCCGTCCCTAATTTAGCAATTAAAGACTAGAGGGAAGGCAGCTAGTCATCACCAACTCTTGGGCTACTCTTTTATCAACGAATAGTGGGATTGACCGTCACATTATAACGCCCTCACGGCTGAAAGGGCGAGCATGTTTGGTGGGACGGGGATTCGAACCTGCGACCAGCAGATTGCGAGTCGAGCGCCCTAACCACCTGGCCATGCCGGGCACTCATATTTGTTCCACAATAAACACATTTTTACACCACATTTGTACAATCATATATTTCAGTAAATATCTGTGAATATCTGTGAGTGGGAAGTTCCATCCACTGAATTATCAAAGTTCTTTTTTTTTATTTTGTGAAACCCATTCATCCTTCAGAAACTCACTTTGAACAGAAAGTTCTTTCAATTAAAACAAAACACGTTTCCTGGATATAGCATCGTTAATCAGCCGTTCAAGCTCGAACTTTTCAATAAAATGAACAAGTTTAATTTTGAAGTTATAATATTTCCTTTTCTGAATACAAAAATTACAAATGAATTATATCACAGACTCTGTTCAGCATTACAAGACTTCTTGGAAATAGCTCCAACTACACGAAGTTTAGTGTTCCAGAAACGGAGTTTTTCCTATGGCATTTTAAATTCAGCAGTCACATACTACAGATTATATAATCAGTCACTTTACTGAATATTATGAACTTTTCAAAACCTACCATATTTACAACTTAATTTCCCAACTAATATTTAGTTTTATGTTTTATACGTTTAAGCTCTCACTACGTATAATGCAAACTGTGTAATAGTTTCTTATCTATATAAATATAATAGTACTGTCTATTTGTTGTCTGTTAAATGTCCATGTAACTTCTTTGCAGGATGTGGATGGATCTTCACCAAAATTGCTATGGAGGTTCATTAGGTCTATGGGGGGGATACATACAAATTTTTCAGTTTTGTATTTTGCGTTTTCGCGTTTTTACCACTACTTCGCCCTCTCTTGATGGATCTTCACCAACTTTGGCATGAAGGTTTGTTGGGTCCATGAGAAGACACGTAAACATTTTCAGTTTTGCAGTTTTTTGTTTTTGAATTTCGTGCAAAGCTACACTAGGGTTATCTGCGCTAGCCGTCCCTAATTTAGCAGTGAAAGACTAGAGGAAAGGCAGATAGTCATCACCACCCACCGCCAACTCTTGGGCTACTCTTTTACCAACGTATAGTGGGATTGACCGTCACATTATAACACCCCCACGGCTGAAAGGGGCGAGCATGTTTAGTGGGTAGGGGATTCGAATCCGCGACCCGCAGATTGTGAGTCGAGCGCCCTAACCACCTGACCATGCCGGGCCTTTGCAGTTTTTATGGGCATTTTTGCACGTGTTTTTTTTTTTACAACTACATATAAGAGAAGCAACCTTTCATGTACTAAGATAACCTTTCATTAATCATATAATAATATCGTGACCCGCTTTGCAGTGGAAATGTTTTCCTTCAGCTAATTAAGATTGAGACGTTTGTCCTAAAAGGAGCAGGCCAGCTTCAGGTAATGTGTGATTACAGAAGCAATTAGAAATTAAAAGTATAACGATTTCTGTTGGAAGCACATATGCTGAATTATATATATATATATATATATATATATATTAACATAAGCGACTATAAATAATTTAAAAACACATAACAGCATATAAATGCACGTAGAATTATACTGATTATAATTAATAGACATATATATATATATATATATATAGAAGAATTCCGGGATCTTCGTTTAAAGAAGGTTTTAATTTTTTCCATCGGTAAAGTTTCTGCGATGTTTCTTCTGTTTATATAAGTTTCACTTGGTGAAATTTTAATGCAGTGTTCGGATATGGATGGTTTGGTTTCCTTTAAATATTCACAAACATAGGACAGTCCGTTTTGATATGATCATTCCGACAGTATCGTCGCTGACATGTTCAATAAATGAGAAGGTAGTTGTGACAAAATTTTGCTTGTTGAATTTTTCGTGTTTTTTGTTGTTGTTTTAGTTTCAATGATTTTTTCTTCCTTCGAGGTAAACATTTTTATCAATGAAAATCTCATATATTCTCTTCATTTCACTGTTTAAATTGTTAGGGGTATACATGTCAAGTGTGATGTGAATTATACATTTTAGGGTTCCATGTTTTTCATGTGTATATTTTTCGTGTACATATTGTTCTGAATGTGTCTATTTCCAGTAAACACAGATTCCTATTATGAATCACTAGTGTGGTTCATGATAAGTTAAGCTGTTTTCTTACGTTTATTAATTCTCTCTATTCTTTTTTGTTAAAATTTGGTTTAACCTTGGTATATTTGGTTAAAACTTTGTGATTTGTTGGAAAACTCGATAATAATTTTTCACGAGATCTGTTTTTGGTTTGGATGGTAATATATCTTGAATAGTTATAAGGACTACGAATTTAGGCCCATCACTGATTTGGTCACTAGAATGTGAGTATTCAGATGTTTTTGCTACTAATTTAATTTATTTTTATAAACGTTACTTTTTGCTGTGTTATAAGTACCGTCCTGGTACTCGATTCTGTAGTTAGATGGTAACAAGTGACATAGTAACTTATCTTAAATATTAGGCTATTTTAGAAGTTACACCGACAGAGAAGTTCATCTATTACGAGACGTTGTTAGGAAGGATTGAATAAAGATTTGCTTATAATAATGATGTCAAGCTTTTAAAGAGATACAGAATTGATCATAATGCTAACTCCTAATGACAAGACAAAATGTCATATTTCCAACAGCAAATCAATAGCTGATCGAGTTTTATTCGGTTGAGGCCTTAGTTTATGGAGTACCAGTGTCTCTTTTATACGTAGGCTTCTCTTATCACTGTATTTGAATATTAACATTGTTCTTGTACACGTCCTTTCAACCGTATACTTGTAGACCAAATATACCTGGAATTGCATCTGGGACACTAATATTCATGGACAACATTTAGATGTTAGTAAAGAGCAAATTCTGTCCTTAAATTGAATTTTTGTTGATATTATATTTTACAAAAGAAAACAACAACAACAAAAAAAACAGTCCCATGTGATAGAAATTATTTCTGTACGAATATGTTGATGAGATATTCACGAGGCAAGAGGTTTAGCAAACATTAGGTGTGGACTAACTATATTCTGTCTCCAATTGTCAACATTAGATGTGTACTAACTATATTCTCTGTCTCCAATGGTCAACATTAGATGTATACTAACTATATTCTCTGTCTCCGATGGTCAACATTAGATGTATACTAACTATATTATATGTTTCCGATGGTCATGTCCGATTTTGGTGCCAACCTGAAGAGCGCTGAACCAGTGGTTAGCGTGCCGTATTATGGATCTGAGGATGACATGTTCGCGTCTGGTTACCGCAAATAATAATCATCTTATGGTCTTCGTAGTCATGGGGACATTATAAAGATAACGGCAAAGTCAGACTATTCCGTTCAAAACTAATAGCCTAAGAGATGGCGGTGAGTGCTATTGACTAGATGTTTTCCATGTAGTCCATCAGTTACAAATTAGGGACGGCTAGCGCTGACAGCTCTTGAATAGTTTTGCGTGAATATGTGAAAACAAACTTGAAGGTAAATATATGAATCGTAGCTTCCGGTAAATGAAGTATCCGGATATGAATTTTTTGCTAATATTTTTATATTAATTATGCAAAATGTCGTCATGAATTCATTTTCAACGTATATATATACTTTCAATTCCAGCAAAATGACATTGTAGTTTAAAATGTTGGCGTAAACGACCTTAGAACCTGTTTGTAACAGCATATAATTTAATAATTACAGCGTTATAAATGATTGAAATTTTTCAAACATGCTATATACATTTTCATCGCTTTATTTCTTAGTTTGAAGTTAAGCACAAAGCTAAACAATGGGTATCTGTGCCGGTTTCTAGCGTTGTAAGTCCACAGACAATACCGCTATGCCACTGGGTTGGGTGGGAGGGGGCTTATCGCTTTAACAAAGTCCTCTTAGTTCAGATATTAAGTAACATAAACTTAGAAATTTTTATCAAAGTTTTTCTACATTTTTTTTTATCATTCTACAGAGAACTAATACGATTTCTCAATCTATATAAGAGTATTAAGATTTTTGTTCATCTATTCACGAACTCTCACATGAACAGTTCTATGAATATTTACCAATTGTTTTCAGCTCTATTGTTTAATAGAATTACACAGTCATAATTTACAACTATTGAAACATTAAACCTTGAGAGTTTACGTTTAATGTACTTGCTATATTTTATTATAAAAAGTATAATGATTTTATTAAATAATTTGTGTTAAATGAATTACGTTGTTTAGAAAAAACCGTTCAAAATCTTTCATTACTTCTTCGAAAACGTTATTTAAATTAGGATCGTCTTTTTCTGACAAATATTTTTTTATAAAAACCTAATATAAAGGCATTTCACATTTGGGGTTAATATCATACTCTTGCATGCTTTTATTACTCTGTTTTTTCACATATGACATTATTATTTCATTTCTCTAATGGAGTAAAAAAAGTTGACGCTAGAGGTAACAGAATTGCGTTCTCTTTTTGGAGGCCAACATTTCTATGTTGAATACGTTTTTGTGGTTTTTTGTTTTTGAATTTCGCGCAAAGCTACACGAGGGCTATCTGCGCTAGCCGTCCCTAATTTAGCAGTGTAAGACTAGAGGGAAAGCAACTAGTCATCACCACCCACCGCCAACTCTTGGGCTACTCTTTTACTAACGAATAGTGGGATTGACCGTCACATTATAACGCCCCCACGGCTGAAAGGGCGAGCATGTTTGGTGGTGCTGGAATTCGAACCCGCGACCCTCTGATTGAGAGTCGAGCGCTCTAGCCACCTGGCCATGCCGGGCCTCGTTTTTGTGGAGTTGATCATCTTTAGCATGACATAACCTGTGGTGTTATATCTTAATCAAAAAACTGCATCTTTTTAGAGTTTTTCTATGTTAGAAAAGAAGTAAAAACCTTTTTATTTGATTACGTCGTCGTTCCTTATTAAAGCTGGAAATTGCTCTAAACTTTCAAAAAGTTCTAAAGTTTTATATGAACTATGAAAAAAATGCACATCAATTAACGTACTTTCGTTCTATGATCGTCTGACACTTCCTTCGAAAACGGGTAATATGATATATTGGAGTAGCAGCTGTCTTATCTTGCTGCTATACAGCTTACCATTAATTATCAATACATTCGAGGTGGAGAGATCAGGTCAAGTCAATATGAGTTTGTACATGTGGATGTAAGGTTGATTGTACCAAATTCACACAAGGTGAGAAAAGTCAATCCCAACTTGATAATACTGTCGTCACTTGAAATTTATTAAAATAATGAGATTTCGGGTTGCTTCTCATCATCATCTCAATCATGTACAATCATTGTTAGTTATCCAACACGAAATATTCGATAATATAATTTTTTTAACTAACAGCATTTATACTTTTTATATTTTACTATCTACATCGCATCATTCGTAAATTGCAAAAAAAAAAAAAAAAATAGCCAAATACAATGGTCACTCTGATATTTTTACATAGTACATGTTTCAGCTCCAGGAAATCATGTGTTGTGTAATTATGTAATTATGCAAGTTGGTAAAATATTTCAAGTGTTGAATCGTGAAGAGATTGTTTGTGTAAGTTCACGAGATTCAACCATTGACACCTACATTCTACGTGTTGCCTTTCTGTCACAGCTATAAGTAAGCCAAAGAAACTATAGGCTCGAATGTGAGTTAACACCTTAATCACTCCATACAAACTTATCTCGGTTATGTAAATATTTCACGCTCAAAATGTGCAGGTTTTTTAGCATCTACCTTCCATTGAGAAAGAAAATAAAATTCTAAGATTCTAAAATGCGTCATTTCTAAACTAATCTGTATAATTATAACATATGAAAGGAAAAATTATAAAAAAAATATTTTCTTCAGAAATTACAAAGACACTTAGCTCTGAATCCCTGAGGAAGCTACTTTCTCCATTTTATTTACGGACGTTTTCAGAGTCTAAAATTAAGAGTTGTAGACAGAGGAATATGGAGGAAATATGAAATGTGGACAATTTTTGGTGAAAATTGTTTCAGAACTCTATTTAAAAATTGCCGAACTTCATGTGCTAGACGAAATCAAATGTAAAATGTTAAGAACATTCGAACTAAATTCATGTATATTAGCATCTAAAAATCCATCTGGATTCTACTTATGTTTTTAAAAGTGCCTAAAAATAGAACTTGTAGAACACTGTTGTACTTTGCTAAATAGTTAATTAAAAACCATCACGATTCTCGTAGAATGGTCACAAGAATATTATATACGTATTATCAGACATACATGTCGACACTGTAATATGTAAGCTATTTAACTCAGACTATTAGAATTACTATGTGACGTACGAACGAGAATATGCACATTACGGTAATCGACAGAAAAAACATAAAAGTAGCGTAAAATAAACTTTGTTTAGCGCTCAGAAACCTTGGAGAAACCGAGTTTTCGCAACCGATTCTCTGAGAAAAATCTGGAATTACCTGCACACTAAGTGTTATGTGTAAAATGTGTACGTAATACTTAACACAAAGTAAGGTAAGAATTACAGACCACCTGCGTAGTACGAGATTCGAGAGAGCGAGGTGTATTTTCAGTTATTTACAGACTAACTGACGCTAAGACATGAACATGAACAACACGAGTTATATCGGGCGTAAAACATAAACAAAAAGCAAGCATTTCTTCGGTAGAAAATATCGTCTAAGTATTATTTTTCTTTTCACCTGTGTGCCTCTTTGTGGCTGCTGAACGCTAATAATGTCGATAATAATCTATATTGTTTTTTATTTTAACTGTTATTGTACGACAACGTTGAAACGTCAGTTTCAACCATGTAACACCCATGATTGTATGGAAAAATACTCCTATTTTTACGGACTGTTTAGCTATATATACCCCCAGTGGCACAGCGGTATGTCTGCGGACTTACAACGCTAGAAACTAGGTTCAGATACCCGTGGTGGAAAAAGCACAGATAGCCTTGTGTAGCTTTGTGCTTAATTACAAAGAAACAATAATTAATTACAAATAAGACAATAGTATATGTATAAGGAAAAGCAAATAACTATATACTGTTACCTACCTAAAAGATAAATTGTGTTCCCTTTGGTTCAAAACAGCATTCTCGTAATGTAACAGGCAATATTAAAATACCATTCTCGTAATGTCCAGGCAATATCTTTACTTAACTTTTACTACCTCGAGACTTTTTGATGCACATAGAAAACGAAAGGTATTACTCAGACTCGGGAATATGTTCAACTGTAGTCGTTAGCTGTCGGTCCACTCATAGATAGGGCTAAGAGCAATCAGTGTGATATAATGCGTTTTGGATAGGCTGCCCTCTGGTGGCAGTGGATACTTTGACGAACCCTAAAAACTCAGATGAAGAAGGAAAACCTAATAGTTCACGTAAGTTTAAAAACGTGTGATTCTTTAGAAATATAGCTACATTTGTATAACTTATACAAAGTACTAATACTTTTTTCTTTTAACTAAACTGTAAGGAAAAAAAATATGTTCATCGTAACAAGATTCGTAGTGAAAACTGCGTTTCAGTTGTTAGTATTTTAACTTCAATTCGATATCAATATTCAATATAATTAAAATAGCTGATAAGTAAGTGAAGGATAAAACAATAGATTTATCAGTCACATTTATCAGGAATTGGATTGATTGCACATTTTGTATCTACTTTTCACTATTTTTAGAAAAAATTTCGTTGTATTATTTCAACTGGCATCTGATAGTTTATCACAAATTAAATTAATTTTTTATGCTTCTTTCACAATATTTTTCAAATCTTTAAACCAAAGATATGCAGTCACCATTTTTTAACGTTTCAACGTTTTTATTGTTGGCATTCTTTCGTCATGGTCATTTTTGTATAAACGTTGAATTTTCGGATGCCACTAAAAGAGATGAAACAATTGATATTTTAAATTAAAAGTCCTGATTCTCTATGAATGTTACGAACTTATTGCTACCATAATAAGCAGCAGATGTCCAGTAAAAGCTGTAAACTTTTACAACTTTTAACGTTGAACTCGAGTGATAACAAACATTTGAGACATTATACATTCAAACTGTGTTTTTATGTTTTATTTTCGTGGAATATCTGTGACAATTAATCTCATAAAACTTCGCTTAAGAATTTAGAATAAAATGATAAATTTTCAGGATTTGAAGTTTGATATAAAAAGCTCAGTAAAATTGTTTTAATGACATTATTTTATATATTTCATTATACACACATCACATTTATCGTTTACAAGAAAGTGTCAGGGGTGTGGCATGCCACATCCTACTTCTATAAAATGTTCATATATACATGTATATATATACTTCCTTAACTTTAAGATTCTTAGTTAGAGTACTTATCATAGGTAAAATAAATATGTGCTATTAAGGTATTGGTACCCTGTACTTAGAATTGGGTATCTATGTTTTCCTTAGCCTCACCTTTTTACTATTAAACCTTCTATATAAATGAAAGAGGGGAGACTTTTCTTTCCTGTCTTCACTAATCTTGGTTCTGTGTCTTCACTTCTAAGCTGCCCCTCCAGTGGCACAGCGGTATTTCTGCGGACTTACAACGCTAGAAACAGAGTTTCGATACCCGTGGTGGGTAGAGCACAGATAGCCCATTGTGTAGCTTTGTGCTTAATTACAAAGAAACTTCTGCGCTATTTTCAGTACTTTGACCTTTTAATCTTCGTCTTCTGTTCCCACACTAGCAAAATCGTTTTTCGTGTAGAGTCTTGTCGTGTTTATAAAATCCAACTAAATCAGTGACGATTTATCTCATTAAATTTAAGCAACAAATCTGGTTAATTATTTCCTGACTTGCTTTGAAATCAGTTATTTATCACTTTATTTTAATTGTATATGATAACATCTATTGTTTATTCGTCTTTGTGAAATACATTTTTATGTTTTATGTCAAACACCAAATTTAGCCTCCCCGTTTTATCATGCACATCGTTCTTTCCAACACGATTATTTTAGAACTTTTTGTTATTATTTTTTTGATTAATCTTGTCCTGGGGTACCAACGGAGAGAGAAAAAAAATCGCCATGACCAAGAATGACGCTGTTGCACTAAGTGATACCGAAAACAATTTGAGTTCTCCTTAGCAATCCTGGACGTAATCCTGCTAAATGAATGTTTTTGTCATACGGGCTGAAGATATAGCTGATAGTTGAATTAGGCTTAGTTGCAGTAACTTACTACCAGATGAAACTGCCAATGCTGTAATTGAAGATGTTGCATGTTTACATCTGGTTCCATGCAGAGTAGTTGCCACATACTGGTTTTAATTCTTCTCTTAACACTAGGCCGTGATGTTTTCAGATGAGATTAGTTGGCAGCCTTTGTGTTTCGACTGACATGAGACCAGAAAAACAAAGGTCATGAATTATGGTGTTACACAAGTCAACTCATGCCATTCGTTGTCGTCATGCATCTTGATGAAATGTGAATCGAAGATATAATCATAGCAAAACGTAGCACTTAAAGACATAGATCTAAAACCTGCCAAAAAAACCTATGAGGAATCGAGTGATTAAAAACATATTGATCCTAATAGAAGCAGGTGTAAGCAACAAGGCTTAAAGTTTCCATTTTATCAAGTATTTAAACGTCTTTACTTGTCAAAAACTCTTGAAATGACTTTTCACATTGAATCACAGCGGTAGTGTTGTGTGGCTATACGTGTTGCTAACCTAAGTCAACGACATGAATGTTCGGTTTGTTTCCCGATTATTATGCATATCGCCAACTGTTGTCTAAGTAAAAGTACACACCTTTACACCTGTCATGTCTTCTGTAGGTATCGTACATAACTGTATATATAGTACGTATTTCCTAGAATAGTGTAGTATAACTAAAAATGTAATAGAGTTGGCATTTTTAATTAACAGTATTGGCATGATTAATACTTACTGCCGTACAGTTAACAGTACTGCAGATTATTTGTTAGTTCGTTTTTGGAATTCCGCGCAAAGTACTCGAAGGCTATCTGCTCTAGCCCTCCCTATATTAGCAGTGATAGACTAGAGGGAAGGCAGTATTCAAGATTACCAACCATCAACGTTTGGGATTGACCGTCACATCATAAAGCTTCCACGGCTGAAAGGGCGAGCATGTTCGATGACGGGATTCGAACTCACGATTAGCAGGTTGCGAGTCGATTGCCCTAACCACCAGGCCACTGCGAATGGCCAATGTAAATATATATTACTGGAAAATATTATATTTCCTACCCAAGCCAAACACTATTGCAGTACAGCTTGGCCTGGGATATAAGAGAAACTAGCTTTCATCACTTTATTCGGGAGTACTGTAAACAATTTAGGTGTTAGCAGAAGTTGTTCTTAGATGCTCTATCTGCTGAGTAGCTCAAAAAGGAGAAGAGATGAGAAAGTTGGGAAAATTCGTATTTTTCTTAGTAATCAATATAGGAGTGTGGATGTGTAGAGAATCGTCCTTGTGGGTTGCAGGAAGACTTAGTTGAGCTGATCCTTTATACCCGTAGTGTTTATTTTGATTTTGTTCATATTTTCTTAGTAATCAATATAGGAGTGTGGATGTGTAGAGAATCGTCCTTGTGGGTTGCAGGAAGACTTAGTTGAGCTGATCCTTTATACCCGCAGTGTTTATTTTGATTTTGGTTGCAACTAAGTATTGATCAGTCCAGAGAAAGAAGAAACACAGAACTTCTGCTCGTTGAACGGATTATAGTGTTATGTTTACAAGATATATTTTTACAGATTTATTCGATCAGTCTTCCTCATTAATTACTACCATATATAATATATTTAAAAAAGGATCAGTTTTAGACTACTCAGTGCTATATATTTCTCTATAATATCAATTGGTCACTGGAAAAGGGATTTATGGAGAGAAAGATGTGTTATAATAGGTGTAATGTCATAACCGATATTGTAGTACAAGGTAGAACTCAGAAAAGTTAGTTAAATCTGTTCTTTTTTTCGTTATTTATTTTAATGATTTTTCCTTTATTTCAGACAATCATCGGCTGGAGCATATTAGTTTCAGAACAAGTTGGTGTTATGTATTATTTAGTTGTGAGTGTATCTTGACAGAGATCGAGATAGTAGCTGTGTTATGTGGTTATGTGAGACTGTTTTTCTTACTATTTACATTCGGTTTTGTGATGTGTTGTCTTTGAAAAGTTAAGTTTGTTTTGGGTTGAATTTTTTTTTTAGGTGTTTATGTTGTTGTTCTGGAAAGAATGTCGTGAGCTTGTCTTATGAAGCCTCGTGAGTTATGCCTGAATATTTACCTCCCTTTCCAGGATGAACATTTCAAAAGCGACAACAGATACATAATTACAGTTCTGATTTGGAATGAATTAAAAGTAAGTTGGTATCAGAAAATAATAGCATCTCTTTACCCGTATCTACTCTTGTTTGATTTGTTTCGCAAGGTCTTGACTTTGTCTCTTTTTCTTTTTTCCCACATTGTATAATGTCTAAGTCCACAAAAATCGAGCCACGCCTATGCGTATGCATTTTACAGGTTACTCTTTTAATTGTATTCAGTAAAGCTCACTAACTGTATTTCCATTATTTCAGAATTTAAAAATCTGATCTTCGCCAATTGTCAAATAAAAAGGCTTTTACTTATACTTCTTAATAGTATAAATATGTACTGTGTTGTTTTGGAGCTTGGGATTCTTCTACAGTAGGTGTCTGTGACTTGTTAGCGATAAATTCAACGATGAATAAACAGCACGCGCTTCACTTGTTTTCTGGGTTCGGATCCCATCCCACCAAACATGCTCGCCCTTTCAGCCGTGAGGGCGTTATAATGTGACGATCATTCCCACTATTCGTTGGTAAAAGAGTAGCCCAAGAGTTAGCGGTGGGTGGTGATGACTAGCTGCCTTCCCTCTAGTCTTACACTGCTAAATTAGGGACGGCTAGCGCAGATAGCCCTCGTGTAGCTTTGCGCAAAATTCAAAACAAACAAACACTTGTTTTCTAATAATACATATATATTCGGAACAAGTTAAACGTATGTACAAAAAAGTATTCACACTATAGAGATTACAGGCGTATCATAAACATTATTTATATATAATTCTCTTCTTATAGTCAAAAATTCCACTTAGGCCTATTCAATTACTGTAAACTTTCAGTTGACAAGCCGAACTATCTTCTCTATTACTGTTGATGATCCTTTGTTCCTTTTGTCAAAGTGCACTCAGGCTG